GAGTGGCTGTGATAGCTGCTATATGCCTTGCCTGCAAACGACTACGACAAAGAAGAAACACGGCTATCACTTCAAGTATTAGCCTCGATAACATAACCACGGAAGGTCTAAGCTCCGCTCCTGTGGCTGCGCCGGCCGCCCCGAGAGCGCAGCGCGCCGCTGCAGTGCCCGCCCCGAGAACGCAACCCGTCGCCGCCAGCACCGCGACGCGCGAGCGTGCGTCCTCACCCGCGGTCCCGAACCCCGAGAGCGCAGCGCGCCGCTGCAGTGCCCGCCCCGAGAACGCAACCCGTCGCCGCCAGCACCGCGACGCGCGAGCGTGCGTCCTCACCCGCGGTCCCGAACCCCGAGAGCGCAGCGCGCCGCTGCAGTGCCCGCCCCGAGAACGCAACCCGTCGCCGCCAGCACCGCGACGCGCGAGCGTGCGTCCTCACCCGCGGTCCCGAACCCCGAGAGCGCAGCGCGCCGCTGCAGTGCCCGCCCCGAGAACGCAACCCGTCGCCGCCAGCACCGCGACGCGCGAGCGTGCGTCCTCACCCGCGGTCCCGAACCCCGAGAGCGCAGCGCGCCGCTGCAGTGCCCGCCCCGAGAACGCAACCCGTCGCCGCCAGCACCGCGACGCGCGAGCGTGCGTCCTCACCCGCGGTCCCGAACCCCGAGAGCGCAGCGCGCCGCTGCAGTGCCCGCCCCGAGAACGCAACCCGTCGCCGCCAGCACCGCGACGCGCGAGCGTGCGTCCTCACCCGCGGTCCCGAACCCCGAGAGCGCAGCGCGCCGCTGCAGTGCCCGCCCCGAGAACGCAACCCGTCGCCGCCAGCACCGCGACGCGCGAGCGTGCGTCCTCACCCGCGGTCCCGAACCCCGAGAGCGCAGCGCGCCGCTGCAGTGCCCGCCCCGAGAACGCAACCCGTCGCCGCCAGCACCGCGACGCGCGAGCGTGCGTCCTCACCCGCGGTCCCGAACCCCGAGAGCGCAGCGCGCCGCTGCAGTGCCCGCCCCGAGAACGCAACCCGTCGCCGCCAGCACCGCGACGCGCGAGCGTGCGTCCTCACCCGCGGTCCCGAACCCCGAGAGCGCAGCGCGCCGCTGCAGTGCCCGCCCCGAGAACGCAACCCGTCGCCGCCAGCACCGCGACGCGCGAGCGTGCGTCCTCACCCGCGGTCCCGAACCCCGAGAGCGCAGCGCGCCGCTGCAGTGCCCGCCCCGAGAACGCAACCCGTCGCCGCCAGCACCGCGACGCGCGAGCGTGCGTCCTCACCCGCGGTCCCGAACCCCGAGAGCGCAGCGCGCCGCTGCAGTGCCCGCCCCGAGAACGCAACCCGTCGCCGCCAGCACCGCGACGCGCGAGCGTGCGTCCTCACCCGCGGTCCCGAACCCCGAGAGCGCAGCGCGCCGCTGCAGTGCCCGCCCCGAGAACGCAACCCGTCGCCGCCAGCACCGCGACGCGCGAGCGTGCGTCCTCACCCGCGGTCCCGAACCCCGAGAGCGCAGCGCGCCGCTGCAGTGCCCGCCCCGAGAACGCAACCCGTCGCCGCCAGCACCGCGACGCGCGAGCGTGCGTCCTCACCCGCGGTCCCGAACCCCGAGAGCGCAGCGCGCCGCTGCAGTGCCCGCCCCGAGAACGCAACCCGTCGCCGCCAGCACCGCGACGCGCGAGCGTGCGTCCTCACCCGCGGTCCCGAACCCCGAGAGCGCAGCGCGCCGCTGCAGTGCCCGCCCCGAGAACGCAACCCGTCGCCGCCAGCACCGCGACGCGCGAGCGTGCGTCCTCACCCGCGGTCCCGAACCCCGAGAGCGCAGCGCGCCGCTGCAGTGCCCGCCCCGAGAACGCAACCCGTCGCCGCCAGCACCGCGACGCGCGAGCGTGCGTCCTCACCCGCGGTCCCGAACCCCGAGAGCGCAGCGCGCCGCTGCAGTGCCCGCCCCGAGAACGCAACCCGTCGCCGCCAGCACCGCGACGCGCGAGCGTGCGTCCTCACCCGCGGTCCCGAACCCCGAGAGCGCAGCGCGCCGCTGCAGTGCCCGCCCCGAGAACGCAACCCGTCGCCGCCAGCACCGCGACGCGCGAGCGTGCGTCCTCACCCGCGGTCCCGAACCCCGAGAGCGCAGCGCGCCGCTGCAGTGCCCGCCCCGAGAACGCAACCCGTCGCCGCCAGCACCGCGACGCGCGAGCGTGCGTCCTCACCCGCGGTCCCGAACCCCGAGAGCGCAGCGCGCCGCTGCAGTGCCCGCCCCGAGAACGCAACCCGTCGCCGCCAGCACCGCGACGCGCGAGCGTGCGTCCTCACCCGCGGTCCCGAACCCCGAGAGCGCAGCGCGCCGCTGCAGTGCCCGCCCCGAGAACGCAACCCGTCGCCGCCAGCACCGCGACGCGCGAGCGTGCGTCCTCACCCGCGGTCCCGAACCCCGAGAGCGCAGCGCGCCGCTGCAGTGCCCGCCCCGAGAACGCAACCCGTCGCCGCCAGCACCGCGACGCGCGAGCGTGCGTCCTCACCCGCGGTCCCGAACCCCGAGAGCGCAGCGCGCCGCTGCAGTGCCCGCCCCGAGAACGCAACCCGTCGCCGCCAGCACCGCGACGCGCGAGCGTGCGTCCTCACCCGCGGTCCCGAACGCGTTCAACACTCAAGACCGACCAACATCTCCTATATTGCGAACTCTCATTCTTAAACGCGATGAAGAATCATTTTATACCTAACTTTTCTCAAATAATTTTACTTTTTTATGTATTTTTAGTTTATCTCCCTTGTTGTGCGGGAAGATGTTCAGTTTACACCGAACACATTATGTACGCGTAGGCATTTTACTTTAAAGTTTTTATTTAAGTCAGTACATGTACGGACGCCAACATTGTCTCGTGTGTGCTCACATACATAACATTTATAAACATATAACATTTATAAACATTGTAACAATAATATTATAACAATATAATAAACATTTTGTGCATAAACAGTATTTTAAGTAACATTTACATCAAAAGGTGTTGAATACCACAACATAGACTACTTACAACCGACTTCTCATTTTATTTACCTAGTCAGGTCATAAGTTTTGTCACACAGTAAAAACTTTTCTTTTAGAATGCTGGCCACAAAATAGTTTATTGAATTCGAATTTAAAATTGTTCATGAAAATAAAACTGTATACTTTTTAGAATTTTACTCATTTTTAAATATGGAGTGGACGCTTAAAGAAGACCGTGTTGCAGTTATTGCGTTGCATCGTTGCGGTTACGCACCAATTCAAATTTTTGACATACTGAAAAATTTGAATTTAACCAAAAGATTCGTTTATGGTACCATCAAACGATACAATGAAGACTCTAGTGTAGATGACAGGTCATGAAGTGGTCGCCCTCGGTCTGTTAGGACTCCAGCAGTGATAAAAGCTGTGAAGGCTCAAAGAAATCCCAAACGTAAGCAGAAACTGTTGGCCCTTCAGATGGGGTTAAGCAGAACCACGGTGAAAAGGGTATTAAACGAAGACTTAGGGCTTCGGGCATATCGAAGAAAAACAGGACATCGTTTGAATGCTCGTCTAATGGACCTCAGACTGAAGAGATGCCGCGCTTTGTTGAAGCGGTACGCGGGAAAAAAATATCGGGAAATTCTTTTTTCGGATGAAAATATTTTTACCGTAGAAGAGAGCTACAACAAACAAAATGATAAGGTGTACGCACACAGTAGTGAAGAAGCGAGCAATCGTATTCCGCGTGTCCAACGAGGTCATTTTCCATCCTCGCTCATGGTATGGTTGGGAGTTTCTTATTGGGGCTTAACAGAGGTACATTTTTGTGAGAAAGGTGTAAAAACGAATGCAGTTGTGTATCAAAATACAGTCCTGACGAACGTTGTGGAACCTGTTTCTCATACCATGTTCAATAACAGGCATTGGGTATTCCAACAAGATTCGGCGCCAGCTCATAGAGCGAAGAGCACACAAGACTGGCTGGCGGCGCGTGAAATCGACTTTATCCGGCACGAAGACTGGCCCTCCTCCAGTCCAGATTTGAATCCGTTAGATTACAAGATATGGCAACACTTGGAGGAAAAGGCGTGCTCAAAGCCTCATCCCAATTTGGAGTCAATCAAGACATCCTTGAATAAGGCAGCCGCCGATATTGACATGGACCTCGTTCGTGCTGCGATAGACGACTGGCCGCGCAGATTGAAGACCTGTATTCAAAATCACGGAGGTCATTTTGAATAAACTTTAGTGTCATAAGAATCTATGTTTTGTTAAGTTCATTTTGGTATATAAATGAATACATAATGAATAAACTTGTTTCAATTATTTTATATTAAACATGTGACAGAATTTATGACCTGACTAGGTATATTGAAGTCGGTAGTACAAAATTCACCACTTGTCCGTTTCACATTTTTTGCTATTTAAAAACATACGGCACGCAACGGCTATATTTTTACCAAGTGTTAAACTAATAACCGGTATATGCTGATCTTGCATTAGTAGGCAGTCACTAGTACTTAGAGGTCTACCTACACTGCACAATTTTTTAGGTCATTGGCATTATACGCGAAAAAATCCAAAACTGCGAAGCTGTGGTCGAGTCGCTAATCAAATAATAAATCTGTAACTTTGGCCTCAGTAACTAGGGACTTAATTATCTAGATCTAGCTATAAATAATATCTTACCTTTCGGTATCCTTAGGTACAGCAAAGAATTTAAAGTCGACATTCCTATTGTTATTTAAGCACCCGCATGATAGCAGTATTTTTTGCGTGGGCTTTTTGAGAGGCCATACTTAAATAAAAACTTAAAAAATAAATATCAAGTGCCTAAATACTTATAAGAGAAAAATATTTTTCTTTGTTAACGTAAGGCGCGCGTCAGCTCGAGCGCCCGCGTGACAACCACACTGAATTAGCCTCTTGTAGGCGGCCACGCAGCGTAGATATATTTTCATGCCTAAAGCGCGGAGTGAGACAGGACTGGCTAATACTCGAATAAGAAGGCTAGTGCAAAATAAATGTCTTACCTTGTATATGTAAGCACCTAAAGAAGTATCTGACCGTAGCTTGCACGACCTTTATTATCGCCTCCACACTTGGGGGCGGTGCTTTCGTGCCCGACATGTCTATCCGGTCCAGTACCTAGAAATATATCCAAATACTAAATTATTGGCAGACATTTGTCATTGTCACTGGGTAGGGCTCTTTTAACAGACTTCAAAAAAAAAGCAGGAGGTTCTCAAAAACATCCTCGAATTGATTGATCGATATCTTCATGGTCCCATATATATATTTTGTTTTTCATGTGATCTCGAATTCATTATTTTATTTTAGTTAATTTTATCACCGTGTGGTGGTGGTGTAAGAATATCCACACAATCCAGTGGGTGTCGTAAGAGACGACAGAGAGAAACAAACCAGGAGATGGGCAGCACCGTATAACTAAAAATGTGGTTGCCAACCTGCAAGCCAAGCGTGGCAACTATACCAAATATCCACCCTATGAGACAATCTATGGTAAGACCTATGATCGACAGTGGACTTTTGATTTGCTGTGACGGTAATTTTATCACTGCACTATGTTTTCGTAAGTGTCGAATAACATAAATGTCAGAAAAATATTGGGGCCTCCATAAAAGTCAGTTCGATACAGATCAAACCACGGAGCAAATACAAAGAGGAGGTGTTGTAATTAGATTTCACCATGTAACAATTTGCGGACTGAGGGGGTGTTAAGCCCCGGCCACTTAACTGTTTTCCATCTACCGATAAATAGTAAAACTACTCACATCGTTCCATATCAATGTTGCAATGTAATTTAGCTACCTTGACGACAGATAGCGTCCTGTTCACAAAATGATTATAAAAGTATAAAAATAATATTTTGGCGATTAAAAATTCTTTAGGACTGAATGCAGAACAAATTTCAACACATTTTTATGATTATTTTACCAATACTGAGCTTATCATCATCATCATCATTACAGCCCTTCACAAATCCACTGCTGAACATATGCCTCCCCCAAGTAATGCCATAAAGCACGGTCCTTAGCCACCTGCATCCATCGACTTCCTGCATGTCTTACCAGGTCATCACTCCATCTAGTGGGGGGTCGCCATACACTTCGCCTACCGGTACGAGGCTTCCACTCGAGAACTTTTTTCCCCGTCGATTGTCGGTTCTTCGAGCTACATGGCCGGCCCATTGGCACTTCAGCTTACTAATCCGTCGGGCTATGTTGGTTACTCTGGTTCTACTGAGGATATCCTAATTTCTAAGTTTATCACGCAGAGAAACACTGAGCATAGCTCGCTGAGCGACCTGAAGCTTCCTCATACGGCCAGCAATGGAGGACCACGTCTAAGATCCATAAGTTATCATTGGCAACACGCATTGGTGGTACAATTTAGTTTTCAGGTTTTGAGGTATACCTGACGAGAAGATGTGTCGTAGTTTCCCGAACGCTGCCCAGCCGAGTTGAATCCGTCGATTGACCTCTCGGTCGAAGTTGGACTTACCTAGTCGGACTATTTGTCCCAGGTAAACATACTCGTCAACAACTTCGAGCTTAGTGCTCCCAACAACTACCAGCATAGGTGCGACATAGATATTAATCATGATCTTTGTTTTGTCCATGTCCATCTTAAGACCCATCCATTGGAAGACACTATTGAGGTCATTGAGCATAGTGCTTAGATCCTCCAGCGATTCTGCCATAAGGACTATATCGTCGGCAAATCGAAGGTGAGTGATGTACTCGCCGTTGATGTTGATACCGTATCCTTTCCAGTCTAGTAGCTTGAAAACGTCTTACAATGCAGCAGTGAAGAGTTTCGGGGATATTACGTCACCCTGTCTTACACCTCTCTGCAGTTGGATAGGTTTCGTACTCTGGTTCTGTACTCGGATAGCCATCGTAGCCCTACTGTACAAACACTTCAGCACTTCGATATACCGACAGTCCAATTGGCACCGCTGGAGGGACTGCAGCACCGACCATATTTCGACGGAATCAAAGGCTTTCTCATAGTCCACATACACAAGGCAAAGTGGCAGATTGTACTCTTCTGTCTTCTGTACAATTTGCCGAAGGATGTGTATGTTGTTGTATGGTACTAAAACCTTTTCGGAAACCGGCTTGTTGTGGCTGGAAGTCGTCGAGTCTGCGCGCGAGACGATTCGTAATGACTCTCGAAAACAGCACGTAGACGCGGCTCAGAAGGGAAATCGGTCTGTAGTTCTTCAAGAGAGCGTTGTCGCCTTTCTTGAAGAACAAGACCACCGCACTTCTGCTCCACGCCTCCGGTCTAATGCTACCATGGAGGACGGCATTAAAGAGCTTCTGAAGGACTTTAAAGTACCGGTTTTCCACTCGCTTTCAGAAGCTACGCTGTAATTCCATCCTCGCCTGGGGCCTTGCCGTTTTTAAGGTGCTGAAGAGCCATTCTAATCTCGCTCAGACTGATGTCCGGGATATCATCGGAATAGTGTCGGATAAGACTTACTCTTGGATCGGTACTCACACTTGTGTGAGTTCCAACGATGATGTGTACAGCTGCCCATAGAACCTCTCAATCTCACTCAAAATCTCAGGTGTCCCGGAAACGATGTTGCCACACTCGGTCTTCAGCTTTGACAGATGGCTCTTTCTGGCAGACAGATCTCTGGCAAAGACTTTGAAGCCTTGGTTCCGCTCGATCGCTTCTTCAATACAAGCTGTATTGAAGTTGCGTAAGTCCCACCGCATGCATTTGAGATCTGTCTGTTCAGTTGCCTGTATGCTGTCAAATCTCTTGAAGACTGCAGCTTCATCTCCCGTCTAACAGCCATGAGATTAAGTGTGATCGGAGAGTTTTTGTGTTGAGCTCCGACCGCATGGACAGTTTCCACAAGCTTGTCATTCATATCATCCACTTCATAACAGTCTTCTTGGCACTGAAAACGGTTTTGTAACTCGAGCTGAAAGGTTTCGGGACTTTGGACTAGAGCACGAGGGGGACGGAGCGTTGACTTCATTAGACGAGACCTCTCCAACTTAACGTTTAGGTTCAGTGTGCCTCTAACCATTCGGTAATCGCTACCAGTTTTCACCGTCGCGATCACGGAGACATCACTGAACAGTTGTCGGCTGGTCGTCATAATGAAGTCTCTTCATCTCATTTTCGTCGAACCGTCGGGGCACCATCAGGTCCACTTCCTGTGGGGCCGCTTCTGGAAGAAAGAGTTCATCATAAAGAGTCCCTCTTTCTCCATGAAGTCGGCCAGCTGCTGGCCCCTTGGGTTCCGTTGCCCTATTCGAAATTTCCCTACTTTCAGCTCACCGTTCTCTCTTGTGCCTAGTTTTGCATTGAAGTCTCCCATTAACACCGTATAGTGGGTTTTGGAGGAATGCATGGCTCTAGAGATATCCTTATACATTTCCTCCACCTCCTCATCGGGATGTGCCGAGGCGTAAGCCTGTATGACCTTCAGCGAATACCGTTTGGTGATTCAGAGTATAAGGTACGCAAACCTCGTCGACACACTCTCCATCTTTATAACGTTGTTTGCGAGAGACTTGTGGACGATAAATCCGACACCTTCTTGGGACAGATGGTCTGAGCTCTAAGTACCTTTATATTTTTAGTTCCGATGACACAAAGTGTCGCCATCTAGTGTCGCATATATTTAATTATATTTCAAAGCCGACGGAGAGATTTTTCTAAAACTATTATAATAATAATTATAATAATACTAACTGACATTTTTGTTTCTTCAAATATTTATTTATTTATATATTAATACGGATATTTATAAAGTTTATAAGCATGTATACACATTACATATATGTACGTATGTATTATTGTATGTAAATATATGTTATACATATTTAAATATATATATTTAAATACATGTTGTGTATGTATGTACTATGTATATATTATATTTTAATATAAATACACTTTATTTATGTATTATGTTTCGCACCTGCCTACAATTGTCTTTGGCACGCAGGGTTGACTGGCAGAGAATGCCATATGGCATTAAGTCCGCCCTATGTACCATTTACCTTAAGGTGTTATATTTAAGTTTTTAAATAAATAAATCAGGTATAAATATACTTACAAATGAAATATGATGCCATCCATAGCATCAGAGCGAGCGTCTATCTGAGCAGTTTTTACACGATAAAACACAACACTTCATCCTTTTCTTCTTAATACTACGTAAATACACCGATTTGCGAATTTTGACACATAAGCGCACAGGACGAATGCTGACAGTATACTAACTAAAGCCACGCCCACTGTGATGACGTCATTTTTTTTTATAGAAGAGGGGGCAAACAAGCATGCGGCTCACCTGATGGTAAGTGACTACCGCCGCCCATGAACAACCGCAACACCAGGGGAATTGCAGATGCGTTGCCGGCCTTTTAGAAAGGTGTAAGCTCTTTTCTTGAAGGTTCCTAAGTCGTATCGGTCCGGAAAAATCGCTGGTCGTAATTGATTCCACAAGGAAGTTGTGCGAGGGAGAAAACTTCTTCTAAATCGCACAGTGGTGGACCGCCAATCATCCAGATGGTATGGATGGTAACGCGAGTTTTGTCGTGATGTGCGATGGTGAAATTGAGCGGCTGGAATTAGTCCGAACAATTCCTCAGAGCACTCCCCGTGATAGATGCGATAAAATACACAAAGAGATGCAAAATCTCTACGCAGTGCCAGTGTATCGAGCCGATCAGAAAGAACTCGATCGTCGACGATTCGAACCGTTCTACGCTGGATGCGGTCAAGTGGAAGGAGCTGGCACTGGGGTGTCCCGGCCCAGAGATGAGAACAGTATACCATGTGGGGCCGAACTTGCGCTTTGTAAAGTTGCAAGCGATGTGCCGGCATGAAACACTGTCTCGCTCTGCTGAGCACGCCAAGCTTTTTAGAGGCCAATTTGGCCTTCCCTTCCAAGTGACCACGAAACTGCACACTATTCGATATGTTGACGCCAAGGATTCCGATACTAGCTGAGGCAGCAAGGGGAGTGCCTTGAAACTGAGGAGATACGACAAAGGGGTTTTTTTTTAGCGGTAAACGCGCAAACTTGTGTCTTCTGGGGATTGAACTGGACTAGATTTAGTCGGCCCCAATCCGAGACTTTGTTAAGCAAAGACTCGACTTCAGACACAAGTTTGTCCCGGTACTCAGCGAAGTTTTCCCGAGAAATATTGGCACGGCCGGTATATAAGGCATCACCAGTGCTGTCGTCTGCATAGCAATGAATGCTACCAGTTAGCAACATATCATTGATATGCAGGAGAAACAGCGTTGGTGATAGCACGCAGCCTTGTGGAACACCAGCGTTGATAGGCTTGAAATCAGAGCATGCACTGTCTACTACGACCTTGATGCTCCGAATAGCAAGAAAACTGGTGATCCATTTGCACAATTTCTCGGGAAGCCCATAGGAAGGAAGCTTCGAAAGAAGCGCTTTGTGCCAGACCCGATCGAAGGCCTTCGCTATGTCCAAACTAATGGCCAATGCCTCCCCCTTGGACTCTGACCTAGTTAGAATCACAGTACACAGTTGCTTAAGCCGTCTCCTCTTTGTATTTGTTCCGTGGATCAAACCCATGTTTAGCAGATGACTGTTAAATGGCCGATTAATGCTTGTTTTCTACAATTAAGAAACTTTGTTCACAATTAAAAAATTTAGTTAGGGCAGAGAGTGTACGAAGAGAACATATATGAACCAAAATACTGAACACACATCACGAACAGATAGATATATTAGACAATAGTTTTTTTCATTTTAGCCGTCTTGAGTGGCCAAGTGCATAATTTTTAATATAAACTGTTTTACATGCACATCGGATACAATAAAACGGATACGGACGTAATGAAGAACCAAACGTTTCTTCAATACAGGAATCGGGCATAAACAGAAGAAGAGAATACTTACCTCTGCAAGTGCATGGCATGTCGGCATTTCAGGCAGCGAGGCCATAGTGTACGGCGTGCGTATGCGAAGCAGCGAGGCGTACTCGTATAGCGCGGCGCCGAAACGTTGCAGGTTCGATTCCACCGCGCGACCGATTGGCCGAGTGCGCAAGTGTGAAACTCGGTTCGAACTCTCCCATCTGAGTAATTTGTAATGTTATTTTATTATAATAACCAGATTGTAGATGTGTATGTCAATTGAAATATTTTTTATGAGCTGCTAAAATGGAATGTTTCAATAGAAATTTTATCAGAGTAGGAGTAATTTCACGAGCGCACATCGCGACAGAACTCCCGATACCATCCACACCATCTGGATGATTGGCAGTCCACCATTGTGCGATTTAGAAGATGTTTTCATCCTCGCACAACTTCCTTGTGGAATAGATTACCACCAGCGATTTTTCCGGACCGATACGACTTAGAAGAAAAGAACCTACTCCTTATTAAAAGGCCGGCAACGCATCTTCGATTGCCCTGGTTCCCCTGGTGTTGCAGTTGTTCATGGGCGGCGGTAGTCACTTACCATCAGGTGAGCCGCATGCTCGTTTGCCCCCTCTCCTATAAAAAAATGACAGCATTGTTTTTATATTTACACATCATAAAACGTAATCTATTAAAACTCAGAAAACAACAAAGTTTCAGACACTATTTGCAGTGCAGTGGCGGTGTAAGCGAATCCACTACCCAATATAGTAGACACGTGGGAGTCGCAAAAGGCGACAGAGTGAAACTGAAACCGGAGATGGGCAGCAGCATTTTCAAAAAACTGTGATTGTCAACCTGCCAAGCGTAGCAACTGTGGCAAATATCTCTCCTATGAGGCAATATATGATGAAGGCCTATGTTCTGCAGCGGACATTTCATGGGCTGTAATGAATTAATTGATTAATGTTCAGACACTGCCAAACTAAATAATTACAAAAATTACTTTATTACTTATTTAAAAGGGGCTTAAGACGTATAAAACAGTAATATGTTATTCTATTACCTCAATAACGTAATGATATTCAAACAAAAATAGTGCAAGTATGTCTTTTCGTCCTCTGGTACACTGCCTTCTATAAAGCATCGCTTGATCTGAGTGTCGGACATCATTGACTCCCTCAATGCGTATTCAACCCCAGTTTTAATGAAATTCTGGTATCTTTCCGTATCTGTACTAATTTCTGTCGAGTCATTAGGGGTGTGCATCGTTATCGTACCCGATATAATGCGTACGAGAAGAGCAAGAGTTGTATCGTTGCGGGAATGTTGCAGAAGGTAGCTTATTGTGGAAACAAATTCTGAAGGTAGATTGTAACCTGAAATATAAATATATAAGTTTGAAACAATTTACCACTATATATTTTGCAGTGTGCATTATTTTCGAACGTAAACAGATTTTGTTTTTTTTTTATATATAAAAATATACGTTAGTGGAAGACCACCATAAATAGCAACCAGATCCGATGATAATTTGAAGTTGATTTATAGTTTTTGATTATTAGAGAGAAGCTGAACCAGGAGATGGGCAGCAGCATCTTCTTGATAACAGCTGAATAAAAACAAACTGTGGTTAACAACCCGCTCACCAAGCGTGCAACTATGGGAAATATTCCCCTGTGAGTTATAGGGGAGATCTTTGTTTAGCAGTGAACTTTTGATAAGCTGTAATGGTATGGTATGTTATGGAACTACCTTACTACATCACTGTGGTACCTACTACATAACTATGATTATGGAACTACCTTATTACATATAGTCTCAACCTTTATATGACAAAAAATATGTTATTGTTACTTACACACTAAAATTAGTATCCTTGCTACAGAATATTGTTCTAGCTGATTGCCAGTTAGCAATTTTTCTCTCACAATCTCAATCTCCTCCGCTGCACTTGTCAACAGAGGAACATTTCTATCAGGGAACAGGCACTCATACTCGAGCTTTTGCAGAAGATATTCTGTAAGAAATGATTACCAATAAATAAATAAATAGAAGAAGTAATAACTGTCATGTGGCATAAGTGTTTACTGATCTTTTTGACATTCGTGGGATCAAATATGTTTTATCTACATTGCTAAGATACATAGGAGAATGTGCTGAATTCCGACATACAGGTTCTTACGTATTTTAGGATTGAGAGGCTTCATAGGCTATTTGTAAGTGAAAATTATGTCAATAAAGACTATTATTATTGTAAAGGTAATTTTTTACACTCATTATTACTACGGGAACAAAGATGCTCACAGGCCTATGCCAAGTTAAGATATATTAGTCTATATATATACATATTTATTGTTATATTATCTGTTCACACAGTAAAAACTTTCTGACTATTCGGCATGTGTTTAGTATTAGAGCCTTCTGTAAACTAACAAAAATGTGTTCTTGTAGATCGAGTGATTTGATTGACTGGTGCAAAGATATAGGTATTACTCCTGTGGTGGACAGAACTATGGGTACTATTCTTACAGTTTGGTGATTCCACATACGTTTTATTTCATCTTTGAGGTCTATATACTTTGTAAGTTTTTCTGATGTTGTTGACTGCAGGTTGTGGTACAGCTATATTTATTAAAGTTGCTGTTTTCTCTGTTTTGTTTCCTGGGACTAAACTACTGAATTTATACGATTGATTTTTTGTATGCAATAAAAAACGTAAAGTCGTATCATTTATTGTATGGAAACATTTGCTAACCTATATACGTATTTAGATCATATTATTTTATCTTTATTACATAAAACAATGTTCACTCTCACCAAGCAACTGCCTGCAAAACAGATTTTTCTGCGCGTGTTTAAGTAGCAAGAAGAGACAGTGTATATCAGAACGCAACAGCAACGTCACAAGCGAAGCAGGACCCACTCCCTCCCATGCTCCGCTGTGCCTGTGAGCTGCGCATATTGCACAAAGCCGCTCCATTACTTCGTCCGTCACTGTAATTTAGAAAACATTTTTAATTAGCAAAACAACACTTTTGAAATCACTTCATTATCCACAGTCCATAGTTCCAGGTTAAGGACAACTTTCTTTTGTTAGATTTTAAAAAATTAAGAAAAGTAACAGCCCGTATAAGTCTTGAGAAGGCAAAGGCCTCCTCGCATTATTGTATTGTTCGCATGTCCTGGAACAGTAATTATTTCAAAGACGCCGACGGGAATCGAACTAGGTTTGTTCGCATACTATGTAATTTTAAGGCAAATATTTAGTGAATATGCGCTAGATACCGAGTAGTAATTATGACGTTTACTTTCTCATATAGGTGATATTCTTATAAGGCCACTACATGGTCCCCATATCGTCCTATGGGTGTCGTAAGAGGCGACAGAGAGAAATAAACCAGGAGATGCGCAGCAGCACCTTCTTAATCTAGAAAAATAGCTCCAGTTGCCAAGCGTGGCAACTATGCAAATCCCCACTCTAAAATAACTCCAGTTGCCAAGCGTGGCAACTATGCAAATCCCCACTCTAAAATAACTCCAGTTGTCAAGCGTGGCAACTATGCAAATCCCCACTCTAAAATAGCTCCAGTTGCCAAGCGTGGCAACTATGCAAATCCCCACTCTAAAATAACTCCAGTTGTCAAGCGTGGCAACTATGCAAATCCCCACTCTAAAATAGCTCCAGTTGCCAACCGTGGCAACTATGCAAATCCCCACTCTAAAATAACTCCAGTTGTCAAGCGTGGCAACTATGCAAATCCCCACTCTAAAATAACTCCAGTTGTCAAGCGTGGCAACTATGCAAATCCCCACTCTAAAATAGCTCCAGTTGCCAAGCGTGGCAACTATGCAAATCTCCACTCTAAAATAACTCCAGTTGCCAAGCGTGGCAACTATGCAAATCCCCACTCTAAAATAACTCCAGTTGTCAAGCGTGGCAACTATGCAAATCCCCACTCTAAAATAGCTCCAGTTGCCAAGCGTGGCAACTATGCAAATCCCCACTCTAAAATAACTCCAGTTGTCAAGCGTGGCAACTATGCAAATCCCCATTCTATCTCCCTTTTATGAGGGCATATTCTATGGTGGCATATATATCACATATGAATAGAATAAGGCATATTGAGATAAAAAATTATTTGATGAACGAAATGTATATAATGAATGGAAAGGAGCAAATGTATTGAATGTGGAGAAAATAAATAGAATTAATGACAAGGAATTAATCATAGGAACAATGCTTTAAAAAAAAAACATTTTTTTAAATGTGTGCATTGAATTATCAATTATTGTTTTTTTCATTTCAAATAGTTTTGTATTGAATACAATCTACCCGGGTGATTATAAAACAAACTTTATACTAAAATATTTTTTTCTTCCTAATTTTGCATATATGTACATAGATTTAGATGCAAAATATTACATCCTCAACATAATATCAGCACTACTAAATTTTCAATTTCGTAGAATTAGAATTTTATGAGCATACTTACATGTATTGAATAAAACTATTTTTTTTTTAATATTTAATAACTTAAAGTTGGCCGAGCTAATTATGACATCGGGACGTCATACATCTCAGTCCCCCCGTCACCATGGGTTGCTGTAAAGCACCCGAAACATTGGGAATTAAAATTAGTAAATTAAACAAGATAAAATCAGTAAAAATTGTTTTATTCAATGTGTAGTGTTCGCGTAAATATAAGAAATCATACTTACATGTATTTTCAATATCCTGTGTAAGAGCTTTCAAAACTATATCCGATTTCGAAGCCAAATTTAGAAGATATGGTATGACTTCCCGTTTTTTATCAGCTTGACTGTCCACTTTGATAGCTTCCTAAAATGTGATTCAATACGTGTAATGGGTTTAAAACAAAAAAAATTGGTCAAACACAAGCAACAATTCTATACCATTGGGAGCAATACCTAAATGTTCATAACAATAGATCACACCATTAGACAAATAATTTAAAATTAAAAATTTTGTACAGCCGACTTCAATATAAGTTATTTAAGAATAACTTAAAAACTATTGGTCTGACCTTGATCAAATTCATATGGGACCACACGAGAAGTACCAGCTTTCAAATAAAAAAAGAATCATCAAAATCGGTTCACCCAGAAAAAAGTTCTGAGGTAACACACATAAAAAAAAAAAACGAAAAAAAAAAAACATACAGTCGAATTGAGTACCGGCTCCTTTTTGGAAGTCGGCAGAAAAGTAAAGATTTAGACATCAGAATTCTCAGAAAGAGTCTGATGTTGAAATAAGTAACATTCAGGCTAGCGGGTTTAAGTCTTTTATTATTGATTAATAAATAAATCCAATACAATAATTAATGTTTTTACGTATATTAAAAACCATTTATTTTTTCAAGATTGACTATGCATGCAGTGAAGATGGGGGTCTTTTAACATCAACAATTCTTGCTTTGACACTATAACTCTATAAATATATCAACACATTTACCTGGAACAGTTCAACGAGAGCAGCTCTTACATGGAACAATGCGGGAGGATGGTTTGCAAGATGCGCCAGCACAGCCCTGGCTGCATCAGGTCCGAGTGCTAAAGCTCTAGGAGCCACTAAAGCAGGCTCCGCTCTGCCCACCCATCCAACTGCCCATGAACATGCTCTACAGCCTAAAAATATCAAATTCAAAATTAAATATTGAATACTCAGTCCAACAAAGAAAGATTGAACACAAATTATTTTAAGACTACGCACTCACGCACTGACAGTGATTGTGTGCGACAAACATGGTTTTAGGTGTATGTGTGCGTCCAGCAGTAGATTTTTACATGCTGATAAAAATAGAAGAAAAATGTGTGCATGAGCGCGTGTCAAGACTTTTCATTGTTTCGACGACACTTGAAATGTGCATAGTGGTCAGTCTATCTTTCTTATTTGGTCTGAGGTTGAATGACACCTAGGTCAAAACCATGATGTAACATTAAAAACGTGGAAAAATGATTAAACCCTTAAAAAAAATCATTAAGTCCTCTATTATATTAGTAATCAGATTATTTAATATATTTTACAGTAAAATAATGTGAATTGCATATCAATGCTCAAACAGGCGCTTATGCGTAATTCTTTTTTAAACTATTATAAGCCGCTCATGGCTACAGCCAATTTTTTTTTTGAGTGTGCACTGAAGTTAGTCTTGCATTGTTTTCTATTATGGTGTTAGTGACACCAAGTGGCGGTGTAGATAACTCCAATAACTCAAAACATCGAGTGAGTAACGTGGCGACAGAGTGATATGAAACCTCAGAAGGGCAGCAGCATCTTCCTGCTAATAAATAATAACTCAAAATAATGAAAAACTACGCTCGCCAATCAACCTGTCAGGCGTGACAACTGTGGCATATATACAACATGTAACGTAATTAACACACACCCTCAGACACCCCAATTATTATATTATGTTATAATCATAACACATACACTAACTTTTTAGTTAAACATGTTTATGCATTGATTATTTATTAAATTAGTTATACTAATTCCGGAAGAATGTTGCGGTCACAGAACAAATCCACAAACCATAGCCTAGTTGTATTATTTTGTATAGAATAACGGAATTTGTATTAATACAAATAAAACTGCACTTTTAAGTCTTATTGCCTTAAGTTACGGTCCATTTCAGTTTGTTTTGACTGTACAGGTTTAGTGTGACTGTAATTTACGTACTTTGAATTATTTTTGGGATAAAATTTTACCTATATTAAAAATGATAGAAATCGATTCAGTAAAACGATTGTGAACAAACTACTTTCAGGATGTGCGTTAATTATGTTATATGTTTTGAATAAAACTACTTTTACGGATTTTATCGCGTTTAATAAACTTATTTTTCTTATTTTTATTAATTCCCGACGTTTCGGGTGCTTTCCAGCACCCGTGGTCACGGGAGACTGAGGTGAATGATTGACGTCCCGATGTCAGAGTTAACCCGGAGTACCTTCAGCTTTTTTAATTATTAATTTTAGTCCGATCTACGCAGAATGAACTTATTGTATTTGAAGTCTTGCAGTGGTATGCTTGGGTTTAGTTTTAATTTTATTAATTACAGGATCCCACGCAGGTGGTATTACCCAGCATGTGTTCTTTTACGCGTAAAAGACTGCTGACGTGAAGCACCAACGTTCCGGGAAGTCTGCAGTTTGTGATCATATCCTAGACGGCCCCCACCATTACGCGATAAAATCCGTAAAAGTAGTTTTATTCAAAGTGTAGTGTTCGCGTAAATATAAGAAATCATTATGTTACATGTTGTATAAATCTCCAATAGATTGTGTCTCTACGGTGGTAGAGCCACGCAGCAGTTTTTGCTGTTGCACGTATGGGCCGGCTCGAGCCGGGTTGGTACCACGACCTCACAGAATACCGGCGTGAAGTAGAAGCTCTGCTTCTGCGTTTCGTCCGGTGAGTGCAGGTGGCCGAAGGCCCAATTCCCCCCCCCCCCCCCGCCCTCCCCCCATCAACATGGTAGCGGAATTACACGTTAGACTACCCCAGGAGGGTACCAGCACCCCTGGAGAATACCTCGCTGAGCATCCACGACCATGTTATTCCACTCCTGAGCGTGGGTGTTCAGGCTGCCCCGTGTACTTCACTCGAACCTAAACGCCGTCCACTACCATCTCGAGACGGCAAAGGCGGCCTTGCTCTTTCTGACCGAGACGCAGGTTTCCTCTCCGGCTGATATTTCGTATCTCACCTACCCAGGGTACAAATTGGAGCACTCCTTTGTGCCTCGGGCTGGAGTTTGCGTGTATGTCAGAGAGGACATCTGTTCTCGACGCCTCGGTAGTCTTGAAGGTTCGGACCTGTCCATCCTATGGCTACGCATAGACAGCGACGACCATCCGCGCGTCTACGGGTGCCTCTATAGGTCCCATACGGGAATGCCGAAACAGAACCGACTCATTGACCACGTCCAAATGGCTACAGATTCTTTGCTGCAACAGGTCCCATCCGCAGAGATCGTGATCCTTGGCGATTTTAACGCCCACCACGCCGAATGGCTCGGTTCACGTTTAACCGATCATGCGGGGAGATCTGTTTATGACTTTGCTTTGGCATATGGTCTGAGACAACTGGTTACTTCGCCTACGCGGATTCCAGATGTGGAGGATCTTACACCTTTCATGTTGGACCTTCTGCTGAACCCTCATCCGGACGGATATCAGGTTTCCGTCGATCTCCCTCTCGGCTCTTCGGACCATTGTCTGATCCGGAGTGTGGTGCCACTCACGCTCCCCTCACGGTTGCGTTCTGCAGGTTGCCGCCATGTTTGGCATTACAGGTCGGCGGATTGGGACGGAATGCGGTCTTTCTTTGCATCCTACCCATGGGGGCGGGTTTGCTTCTCGCCGGATGATCACAGCGCTGTTGCTGACTCTGTCACTGATGTGGTGCTACAGGGAATGGAACTATTTATTCCATCATCTGTGGTACCCATCGGAGGCAGATCTCAGCCTTGGTTTGGTCGCTCCTGTAAGACGCATTACGCAGTAAGCAGGAGTGTTATCAAGCCTGGGCTGCGGCTTCGGCGACTCGGGATGTCAACATCATCATTATCATCATCATCATTACAGCCCTTCACAAGTCCACTGCTGAACATAGGCCTCCCCCAAAGAATGCCACAAAGCACGGTCCTGAGCCACCTGCATCCATCGACTTCCTGCATGTCTTACCAGGTCGTCACTCCATCTCGTGGGGGGACGCCCTACACTTCGCCTACCGGTACGAGGCTGCCACTCGAGAACCTTTCTTCCCCATCGGTTGTCGGTTCTTCGAGCTATATGGCCGGCCCACTGCCACTTCAGCTTACTAATCCGTTGGGCTATGTCGGTCACTCTGGTTCTACTGCGGATATCCTCATTCCTAAGTTTATCACGCAGAGAAACTCCGAGCATAGCCCTCTCCATAGCTCGCTGAGCGACCTTGAGCTTCCTCATACGGCCAGCAGTGAAGGACCACGTCTCAGTTCCGTAAGTCATCACTGGCAACACGCACTGGTTGTACAATTTCGTTTTAAGGTTTTGAGGTATGTCTGACGAGAAGATGTGTCGTAGCTTCCCGAACGCTGCCCAGCCGAGTTGAATCCGTCGATTGACCTCTCGGTCGAAGTTGGACTTACCTAGTCGGACTATTTGTCCCAGGTAAACATACTCGTCAACAACTTCGAGCTTAGTGCTCCCAACAACTACCGGCATAGGTGTGACATGGACATTAAACATGATCTTTGTTTTGTCCATGTTCATCTTAAGACCTATCCGTTGGGAAACACTATTGAGGTCATTGAGCATAGTGCTTAGGTCCTCCAGCGATTCTGCCATAAGGACTATATCGTCGGCAAATCGAAGGTGAGTGATGTACTCGCCATTGATGTTGATACCGTATCCTTTCCAGTCCAGAAGCTTGAAAACGTCTTCCAATGCAGCGGTGAAGAGTTTCGGGGATATGACGTCACCCTGTCTTACACCTCTCTGCAATTGGATAGGTTTCGTATTCTGGTTCTGTACTCGGATAGCCATCGTAGCCCTACTGTACAAGCACTTCAACACTTCGATATACCGACAGTCAACTTGGCACCGCTGAAGGGACTGCAGCACCGCCCAAATTTCGACGGAATCAAAGGCTTTCTCATAGTCCACATACGCCAGACATAGTGGCAAATTGTACTCTTCGGACTTCTGTACAACTTGCCGAAGGGTATGTATGTGGTCTATGGTGCTAAAGCCCTTTCGGAAACCGGCTTGTTCGGGAGGCTGGAAGTCGTCAAGTCTGCGCGCGAGACGATTCGTAATGACTCTCGAAAACAGCACGTAGACGCGGCTCAGAAGGGAAATCGGTCTGTAGTTCTTCAAGAGAGCGTTGTCACCTTTCTTGAAGAACAAGACCACCGCACTTCTGCTCCACGCCTCCGGTGTAATGCCACCATGGAGGACAGAATTAAAGAGCTTCTGAAGGACTTCAAGTACCGGTCTTCCACCCGCTTTCAGAAGCTCCGCTGTAATTCCATCCTCGCCTGGGGCCTTACCGTTTTTAAGGTGCTGGAGAGCCATCCTAATCTCGCTCAGACTGACATCCGGGATATCTTCGGAATAGTGTCGGATGAGACTCGCTCTTGGATCGTTACTCACACTTGCGTGTGGCTCCAACGATGATGTGTACAGCTGCCCATAGAACCTCTCAATCTCACTCAAAATCTCAGGTGTCCCGGAAACGATGCTGCCACATTCTGTCTTCAGCTTTGACAGTTGGCTCTTTCTGGCAGACAGATCTCTGGCAAAGACTTTGGAGCCTTGGTTCCGCTCGATCGCTTCTTCAATACGAGCTGTATTGAAGTTGCGTAAGTCCCGCCGCATGCATTTGGAGATCTGTCTGTTCAGATGCCTGTATGCTGTCAAGTCTGTTGAAGAATGTAGCTTCATCTCCCGTCTAACAGCCATGAGATTAAGAGTGTGATCGGAGAGTTTTTGTGTTCTTCTGCGGCGGGTCTTGCAGAACTTAGCTCCGACCGCATGGACAGTTTCCACGAGCTTGTCATTCATATCGTCCACTTCATTGCAGTCTTCCAGGCACTGAAAACGGTTTTGTAACTCGAGCTGAAAGGTTTCGGGACATTGGAACAGAGCACGAGGGGGACGGAGCGTTGACTTCATTAGACGAGACCTCTCCAACTTAACGTTTAGGTTCAGTGTGCCTCTAACCATTCGGTGATCGCTACCAGTTTTCACCCTCGCGATCACGGAGACATCACTGAACAGTTGTCGTCTGGTCGTCATAATGAAGTCAATCTCATTTTTTGTGGAACCGTCGGGGCTCGACCAGGTCCACTTCCTGTGGGGCCGCTTCTGGAAGAAAGAGTTCATCATAAAGAGTCCCTCTTTCTCCATGAAGTCGGCCAGCTGCTGGCCCCTTGGGTTCCGTTGCCCTATTCCAAATTTCCCTACTTTCAGCTCACCGTTCTCTCTTGTGCCTAGTTTTGCATTGAAGTCTCCCATTAACACCGTATATTGGGTTTTGGAGGAATGCATGGCTCTAGAGATATCCTCATACATTTCCTCCACCTCCTCATCGGGGTGTGCCGAGGTTGGTGCGTAAACCTGTATGACCTTCAGCGAATACCGTTTGGTGATTCTGAGTATAAGGTACGCAACCCTCGTCGACACACTCCCGATCTTTACAACGTTGTTAACGAGAGACTTGTGGACGATAAATCCGACACCTCCTTGGGACAGATGGTCGCCCTCCCGGTGATAGAGCAAGTTGCCGGATTCGAGGATTACCGTGTCCTCCCCCTCTCTTCGGACTTCGGATAATCCTATAATATGCCAGCGCAACTTGTCTATCTCTTCTTCCAGCTCCACGATCTTCTCGTCAGTCCTCAGGGTGCGTGCGTTGTACGTTGCCAGGTCGAGTCGTCTAAGGTGGCAACCGAACCTCCACCGGAGATTCTTAGCACCCCCTGCCCCGCCGTTACCATGGTCGCCACCGTAGCCAGGAATAGCGGGGCCGCCGGGGACTGGGGGCCGTTTATTTGTTACTGCATTCATAGGGGGGTATTTGCCATAGTTGCCACGCTTGGCGAGCGGGTTGGCAACCGCAGTTTTTTTATTGTAATTTGGCTTTTATCAGGAAGATGCTGCTGCCCATCTCCTGCCTGTTTCCCTTTGTCGCCTTTTACGACACCCACGGGAGGATATGGGGTAGTGGATATTCTTGACCGCCACTACACGGCTAACATCAGCACACTTAAAAAGAAGTATAATTTCGCCTCCAGGTCCTTCAAAAGAGTTATTGCCAAGGCAAAGTCAGAGCACAGAAACTAGTTCGCCTTCCTTCGGGAACCCGTGCATTCTGGTCTCTCGCCAAGGCTGTCCAAGGGAATTTCTGTAAGCCATCACTACCATCTCTGCACAGGGAGGACGACTCACTGGCCCAAGACGCAAAAGACAAATCCGACCTTTTAGGCTCCCTTTTTGCGTCCAACTCGACTCTTGATGACGGGGGGAAAACACCGCCGACCATCCCGCGGTGTGAGTGCTCCATGCCGGATGTGATGTTCTCACAGCGCTCGGTTCTGAAAGCACTCCTCTCCCTGGACATCCAGAAGTCGAGTGGACCTGACGGAATCCCCTCAATTGTGCTGAGGACGTGTGCTCCGGAGTTGGCACCGGTCCTAACGCGTCTTTTCCAGTACTGGTCCCAAGGCGTAGTCCCGAATTCATGGAAGACAGCTTTTGTCCACCCGATCCCTAAAAAAGGCGACCGCTCAGACCCGTCCAACTATAGGCCTATCGCGATAACCTCCTTGTTCTCCAAAATAATGGAATCAATTATTAACTGCCAGCTCATGCGGTACTTTGAGGATCACCAGCTGATTAGTGACCGCCAATACGGTTATCGTCGGGTTCGATTAGCTGGTGATCTTCTGGTCTATCTGACCCATAGATGGGCAGAGGCAGTAGAGTCCAAGGGGGAGGCGTTGGCCGTTAGTTTGGACATTGCGAAAGCCTTCGATCGGGTTTGGCACAAAGCGCTTCTTTCGAAGCTCCCTTCCTATGGGCTTCCCGAGAAATTGTGCGATTGGATCACCAACTTCCTTGCAGATCGGAGCATCAAGGTCGTTGTAGACGGTGCATGCTCCGACTACAAGCCTATTAACGCTGGTGTTCTACAAGGCTGTGTGCTATCACCAACGCTGTTTCTTCTGCATATCAATGATATGTTGCTAACTGGTAACATTCATTGCTATGCGGATGACAGCACTGGTGATGCTCTATACACCGGCCGTGCCAATATTTCTCGGGAAAACGTCGCCGATTACCGGAACAAACTTGTGTCTGAAGTCGAGTCTTTGCTGAACAAAGTCTCGGATTGGGGGCGACTAAATCTAGTCCAGTTTAATCCTCAGAAGACACAAGTTTGCGCGTTTACCGCTAAAAAGAACCCCTTTGTCGTATCTCCTCAGTTTCAAGGCACTCCCCTTCTTGCCTCAGCCAGTATCGGAATCCTCGGAGTCGACATATCGAGTGACGCGCAGTTTCGTGGTCACTTGGAAGAGAAGGCCATTTTGGCCTCTAACAAGCTTGGCGTGCTCAGCAGAGCGGGACAGTATTTCATGCCGGCACACCGCCTGCAACTTTACAAGGCGCAGGTTCCGCCTCACATGGAATACTGTTCCCATCTCTGGGCAGGGGCTCCCTAGTGTCAGCTCCTTCCATTTGACCGCATCTAGCGCAGAGCGGCTCGAATCGTCGACGACCGAGTCCTTTCCGATCGGCTCGATTCATTAGCACTGCGAAGAGATGTTGCATCCCTTTGCATTTTCTTTCGCATCTACCAAGGGGAGTGCTCTAAGGAATTGTTCGGATTAATCCCAGCCGCCAAATTTCACGAACGCACATCGCGGCAGAACTCCCGATACCATCCACACCATCTGGATGATTGGCGGTCCACCACTGTGCGATATAGAAGATGTTTTCTTCCTCGCACGACTTCCTTGTGGAATCGATTACCATCAGCGATTTTTCCGGACTTAGGGACCTTCAAGAAAAGAGCGTACTCCTTTTTAAAAGGCCGGCAACGCATCTGCGATTCCCTCTCTGGTGTTGCAGCTGTTCATGGGCGGCGGTAGTCACTTACCATCAGGTGAGCCGCATGCTCGTTTGCCCCCTCTCCTATAAAAAAAAAGATTGCACTATGAGGCAACTTTCTAAAGTATTGGTGTATGTTTTTGAACAATACCTCCCCAGCGCCAAATGGACCATGTTGTGCAGAAACTATCCAACACACATAAACATAAAGTTATTTATATTTGAACGATAAATGTAGTCCTATTGTATTATGTTATAGATATCATTTTAAACAAAATTACCTAACATCATATCAATGCACTTTGCTCTTTCTTCTGAATTCAACAAAGTTAAGTTTTGTGTTGTGATATCTAAGAGCACTCTGACAGGATCAATTGATTGTAATGTAGCATCTGAAAAAAAAGAGACATATTTTATAAAAGTGACATTATATTATAAGCTTTGAACACATACTTTTATTTCATGATAAACAAAGAATATTAATATTAACTTCCTAAATATGTGGTTTTAACTCTTGAAACTGTTAAAGTATAATGTGCATATTCAAAAATACGTGTCTTGTATAAGTAGTGGCACAAAAGTCTAGCGGTGTGCGCGTCCCCTCCACGTTTCGTTCAGCGCTAGACTTACGTGCCGCCACTTGTATGTATACCTGAAAAATCTGGATTAACAGAATTTCAATTTAATTGTTATTCTGATTTCATACAGGTACAGTAAAACAAACTTACACTCCAATATAATATATTAATAGTGTGTATACACTATTAATATATTATATAGGACTAAAACCTACAATAATACTATATTGAAATTAAATTCAATACACTCTAAATGAAACTAATTTGTACGCATTATATCGCGTGTAATTTTAACTTTTTTAATTCCCGACGTTTCGGGTGCTTTACAGCACCCATGGTCACGGGGTGGACTGAGGTGTTTGACGTCCCGATATCATAGTTAGCCCAGCTACCTTCAGTTTTTTAATATTAATTTTTGGTTCGATTTACGCAGAATGAGCTTATAGTATCTTGAAGTCTAGCAGTGGTATACTTGGGTTTTAATTTAATTTAATTAATTATAGGATCCCAAGCAGATCAAAGCACCCATCCATCTTCTCTATTGAAATTAGGATGTTTTTTAATTTCAATAGCCTCGCGGATCATCCTTGGTAGGAATCGGTGTTCTATTGCGAGGATTTGTGGTCTATCAAATCTAATGTAATGGTGGGGATGATCTTGAACTTGCTTCACGTCAGCTATATGTTCTTTAACACGGGCTTTTATAGATCTTTTTGTTTGTCCTATGTTAAAATTAAAGTTAAAAAAAGTTAAAATTAAACGCGATATAATCCGTAAAAATTAGTTTCATGTAATGTGTAGTCTTTTTTTTTTTTTTTTCTATTTATTAGGTTTACCAACAATTGCTAACACTAACACATCAAATTAGTACAATAACTTAAAAGTATTAACAAAAGTGCTACAATTACTTAAAGGTAAACTCCGCATGCATATAAACTCACTCTCTTCACTTAAAAATAAAAAAAACATTCTATACACTCTTTATTTTACTATTCTTGTATTATTAATTTGTATTATTAAGTCTTGAAAATGTTATATATATATATATAGAAGAGGGGGCAAACTATCATGCGGCTCACCTGAAGTGACTACCGCCGTACATGAACAACCGCAACACCAGGGGAATTGCTGGTGCGTTGCCGGCCTTTTAGAAAGGAGTGAGCTCTTTTATTGAAGGTCCTTAAGTCGGTATCGGTCCAGAAAAATCTCCGGTGGTAAACAATTCCACAAAGAAGTCGTACGAGGAAGAAAACTCCTAGTAAAACGGTGAGGATGGTATCGTTAATTTTAACGCGATGTGCGTTCGTGAAATTTGGCGGCTGGAATCAATCCCACACCCCACCACTCCCTGTGGTAGATGCGATAGAAAATGCAAAGGAATGCAACATCCCTACGTAGCACCAGTGAATCGAGCCGATCAGAAAGAACTCGGTCGTCGACGATTCGAACCACCCTGCGCTGGATTTGGCATTCCCTTTCAAGTGACCACGAAACTGCACGCTATTCGATATGTCGATGCCGAAGATTCCGATGCTAGCTGAGGAAGCAAGAGGGAGTGCCTTGAAACTGAGAAAATACGACAAAGGGGTGCTTTTAAGCTGTAAACGCGCAAACTTGTGTCTTCTGGGGATTGAACTGGACTAGATTTAATCGCCCCCAACCCGAGACTTTGTTCAGCAAAGACTTGACTTTAGAGACAAGTTTGTCCCGGTACCGAGAAATATTGGCACGATTTGAGCTGGTGATCCTCAAGGTACCTCATGAGCTGGCAGTTTATAATGGATTCCATTATTTTTGAGAACTGTGTGGACCAAAGCTGTCTTCCATGAATTCGGGACTACGCCTTGGTAGTAGGCGTACCGGAAACGACGCGTTAAAACCGGTGCCAACTCCAGTGCACACGTCTTCAGCACAATGGGAGGGATTCCATCAGGCCCACTCGACTTGCTGACGTCCAGGGAGAGGAGTGCTTTGCTGTCCAACAATAATTTCACTGTGTCACATGCATAACGCCTCATTCTCATGTCTTTAAGGTCTCTATCAGGTTTTTTTGCAACTTTACTAAGTTTGGATCCTTTACTTTTTTTATTAGTAATTGTCTTATGCCAAGATTTTCCAGGAATTTGTAGTCCTGTGATGTTCTGCTAATGAATTCTAAATAGCCACATAATCTTTGTCCTTAAGCTAAATGTTTTCATAGTATTATATCATTCTCTACTCTTATATTATAGCATGTTATTATCATCATGCAAATAAAATTGTATGTATTTATCCTATGTTTGTATCCTAGAACAGATGTGTTTATATAACTATAAATAGTCGTGGGAAAAATCGGAAAAAAATTCAAATTATGTCAGAATACCCCATCCGAGGTGAATATACAACAACATTTTCAAGTTGAAGTGTAAAATAAATAACTAACTTAATGTTAACTTTAAAATATTCAACATAATAATAAGGAATAATCTTACTTGGTATGTTAGCCTTATCAGTTGCTATATTCATAATCAGATTGATACACCATGGTGCAATAAAGGGAGCCCATGCTTCACCGAGATTGCACAGTTCTGGTCCAATCATGCTTACACTCTCTAAAGATCCATTGACACTTGAATCAGTCTATAAACAAATTTCATAATTATAGTTATTACACATAGGTACCATAATATTACACTTAAAAACACAATTTTATCATAGAACTCCAGCCTTGATATAAAATACTAGTGACCCGCCCCGGCTTCGCACGGGTGATTTCTAGATCTCGAAAACAACGCCTTCTACCGGGTCCAAGTGTGAATCTAAGCCATCCAGGGTTTTAAATACACATAAAAAATTTAATCAAAATTTGTCAAGCCATTTTTAAGTTTTAGTGAGACTAACAGACAGCAGTTGATTTTTATAGAGATAATGTGTTCAAAACTTAGTGCTTAGTGCTTAAGGGAACTCACAGAATATAATTATCATGTTCTGTGATTATTAATTTATCTAAAATGCTTGTGTAAATTTTAATCTATTTATATGATTTTGTTATATTTTTTTCTTTGTAATAGATTTTAAAATTACAATTAAGTAGGTTTTAAACCTACTAGAAGATATTGGTCCTCTAGGCTGTTCCCAGATGATCTAAATTTGTGGAAAGTGATGGATATACTTGCAGTGCAGATGTTGTGGAACTACAAAGATATCTTGATGTGCAAGTGACGTGGTGTCAGGCGAATGGAATGGAGTTTAATATTGTTAAATAAATTTTCACATTAATTTGTTCCATATTAATTTTCACAATAATGTTCACATTAATTTCACAAGAAAATTAAACCCTATTCCAAATGGAATAGTCGTCTATAGTATTAATAGGACTCGATTAGGAGAAACATCAGTAGTAAGAAATCTAGGGGCTTTTGTTTTAATAGTATAAGGGTGACAAACGAGCACACAGTCCACCTGATGGTAAGTAGTTGCTGCGGCCCATAGACATCTACATCTATCTTCGATTACGAATCAAAATGCAGATGCGTTGTCACCCATGAGGACTAAGATGGAATGCCTCTTTTCCAGTAAAAAGGGTCACTGGTTCTCTACACTCACCATACGAAACACAGCAGTGTTAAGCTGCTACTTTACGCTGGTATTCTGTGAGAGTGTGGTCCTTCCCCGGTCGAGCCAACTCATTCGTGCTACAATCATAACATAGCTGCAACATGGCTCTACCACATATAAAGGGTGAAAGAATAGAATAGAATAATTTTTAATTATATAAATTCAATAGTAATGAAAGTATAAATGACTTTCAAAAAGTAATTATTTATTGAACATCATTTATACTTTTGCCAATGGTTCGAAAAACTCCTCTAACCTGGAACAAACCAGCTAGAGTCCCAACAGGACTATTTTTTTTTTACAGATTTCAAAAAGGAGGCAGTACTCAATTAAGCTATTTTTTGTGTGTTACCTCATAACTCTTTTTCTAGAGGAACCGATTTTGATGATTCTTTTTATTTCAAAGCTAGTGTTTCTCATGTGGTCGCATATAAATTTCATCAAGATCTGACCAGTAGTTTTTGAGTTATCCTTAATAATTTATATTGAAGTTGGTTGTACAAATTTTTAAATTTTACCAATTGTTTAAACATTAACCTTCAATATGATCTATATCTATACTAATAAATAAAATTGAAGTGTTTGTTTGTAATATCAAAATCACAGCTTTTTACTAAATGCATCTGAAAGTATATACTGTACTTATAACAAAAATACAATTTTAAAGTTTTTGTCTGTCTGTCTGTTTGTTCCGGCTAATCTCCGAAACGGCTGGACCGATTTTGATGGGATTTTCACTGGCAGATAGCTGATGTCACAAGGAGTAACTTAGTCTAATTTTATTTTAGACAAACATTTAGGGTTCCGCGCAAAAAAATTTAAACTAGTATTTTATAATATTAAATATGAAAACAATAAGAAACAGCATGGTAACAATCACTTTATTCCTAGGGGTTATTATCAATCATATACAACTTTTTATAGATAAGTCCTGTATATCTTATGGCACTTTGTAGTGAAAGCATTTACATTTCCTATGGTATAGCTAGTTTGTGCTTGTTTTACAGAATGTACATCACTATTTCTATTAAATATACTTAATAAAATAATAATGTCCTCCAGACCGTATTTCAGTCATGGCTGCCAGCCTCAAAGGAGGCTAGCCATCGGCGCAGGGCAGAATTATAGTGACCAAGTGATGTGCAAGCACAGGTGCAATCTCTATTCCTAGACCTTCATAGTTCGATGGGACGGTAAACCGTCAGGACCGGAGAGAGATCAGGCGCAGTACCAACGACTGTACGTGCTTTCCGAGGCCAGGGGGTGAGACACCGCTCTTGACTCCAGGCAGCTACTGAGATTTTCTTGATGGAAAAACTCAATTACTGATTTTTTTTGGTCTGAGCTGAGATTCGAACCTGGGACCTCATAATCAGCATTCACACTATTACATCTACTAGACCAACAAGGCATGTAAATATACTGAGGGGCTAAAGTAAAGTTATTATATTTTATTATATGACTCCTTCAGACTTAGGTTATAAATTGCTCTTATAGCCCTCTTCTGCAAAACAAAGATTACTTTTCCATACAACATTATGCTATGAAAAAAAACTAAAATAAATTTATCTAGCTGTTTTAACACATGTAAGGCCTCTTAATTTTATTAGCATACCAGCTCTTCCCCGCAACTTTGCCGGCATGTGATTTAGGGTATAATTTTTTTTGCATGGAACCCAAATTCTTGTTCTAAAATAAAAGTAGCCTATGTTACTCCTTATTACATCAGCTATATGCCAGTGAAAGTCCCATCTAAATTAGTCCAGCCATTTCGGAGATTAACTTTAACAAACAGATAAAAAATAAAACTATTATAACCTAAAATGCGCAAAGCATGGAAAAATTACTGTGAAAGCTGGATAGCATACAGAATTTTGTGTAAGTGCGAGCGATATAAGGATGTAAGACTAGTGTCACATTATTCTACTGTCTATACTCTCTGTCAAGAGATATTTCGCTAAAGACAACTATAATAATAGACAAAATTTTACTGGTTTTATTTCTGAATTGTTTAAAACTGCCCAGAAATACTTGAACACCCAGAAATAATTTCAGTTGTAATAGATTAGAAGGTTGTAGCGGGAGCGAAGGCAACCTGACTTTATAGATAAGATATCTGATCTGATTGAATCTGTACTAAAATTAAACCAGCACTCCCCGACTCCACGTAGTCTTGTCTGCCCTGCTCCTAGTGTTTTTGTAAAGCTGTAGGTGCGGAGGGAGAGCAGCCCCCGCCCGCTGTAGCAAATCGCAGGCACCTGTGCGAGCTGTAGCGGATGAGGCAGGTCGCCGAAGGCGACCAATAAGCCGAAGCTGCGGATGTGAGCATGGGTGTCTGTGATTCACTACGCAAGGGCAAGGGGGCTGCACTTCCCGCAGCGCCAAAGCTGTTGTAGAAGTAACTTTGGGTCAATATTCCTGTGTAAAAAAGTTAGATTATGATTTTACAAAAAAAAACACTACTCATAAACTATACTTTTCCGCAATGAGGGAAAGGTAGAGGAGCTTTCCCTGATAGGGCACACTGCTGCTACCCTCTTCCCCTCATGCTGGAAACAACAAATGTTACTTTCAGGTTAGGTCTATGAGATTTTCTGTTTGATTTTTCTCAAGAATGGTATATTACCTTTTAATGGGAGTAGTGTCGGGAGTAAGGGGACGCTCCCCCTTCTCCTCCCCTCAACCCCTGCCCCCTCCTCCTGCCAAACGATTCTAAATTTCACCGAAAGAAATCAAAAACCAGTGTAAAAGGTTCAAGCTTTACCCTTACAACCCTACTTAACTGAAAACCTAATTAAAACCAGACATCTACTACATAATACTAGGGCCAAATTGACATATTTATGTTTCGTTATAATATGCAATTTTTAGTGAAATTTATATTTATTGTAATTAATTCAAAACGCATTTCCGACATCCAAAAACAGTGTAACAGAAGTACCGGATGCCTACAGCCAACCCAAAACCTTTCCTTGACTAAAAAACTTTAAAGCTAAAATTATGTATGACATTTGAGGTGGCTCATCTTATGCCGATAAAGAATTACAATTGAGACATTGATGTAGCACTGGGTTTCAAGCTATTTCTCTGAAATGTTATATGGAAGTCATGAGAACTGCATTATTAAATCAAGATTGTATCAGAAATGTTGAATGACAATTTAATATCTAGACTTTGATATTAGTAAGAGATATGAGATATCATGGCCCCTAGTTCTAGCCAGCTAGAACTAGGTGTGACCAAAACTAGTTGGTAAAATTTAGGTGTACTGTGAAATTTGTAAAAGTACGGATAAACGGATCAAGTAATACCCGCGACAGTAGGTTAAGGTGCAGTTAAAATCGCAGAAATTTATCTAATTTATAATTTATGTATGATGCATCAACCGCAATCGACTACACCTTGTATTAACCGGCTACACTTAGGTATATCCCAACTTCGGCTTTTAGCCGTAACATATATAAATCAACACTGAAACTCGCCTCGTAATCCACTTGATTAATTGACACATTAACTGCATCATGAAACACCATAGCAAAATATTCCAAAACAGCGTCTCTAGCAGCAGGGAAGTTTTTTAAAAGCGAAATACCAATCTTGGTTAACTCCGGTGCATTTTGGAAATTTCTTCTAGAAACTCCATATATGAAATTATTTAGATCCGCCGATAAGGATGTAGACTTAGTTTGAGGATTCATTATGTTAAATTTTATTTGTAAACCTCAAAAGCCAACATTCAAAATACAAATACAAAACAACTTTTCAATCTAATTTTCAAAACCAAAACCAACCAAATGAACTTATCAACGAAATGAACTGAAGGCAGGCAAAGGTTTTAGACTATACAGCCTTGTCTACGTGTAATGTCAATATATTTATGATTAGTGGTCTGCCCCTGCTTTACTCAGGTTGAACAATTATCTATATTAAATATTATATAGATTTATATTATATTTTTGATCTCCTAGTTTTCTTTCTAGTTTTGTTCATTGTTTCCCCTTCCCGCGTCAACATCCCTGCTCCTGCCGAGCTAACCGTCATCGTAATTGTTACGCGAAAGTTTTTATATAAAAATTGTTTCTGTGAGTTATATTTAGAAGAAGAATATACATAAGCTGTCGCGGACTTCTTAAGGCCTTAACAGTGATTGAAATGCCTAAATCTTGAATATTTAAGTAAAAAAATCTCAATAACTGTTTATTTAATCTACAAAGAAAAGATACAGGGTAATTGAAGAGGATTTGGTAAATGTTTTTAATTTAACAAAATTGTATTTTTGTCAACCCCTTATTAGAAAAAAAAATCCCCAAAGAGTACCTATCTTTGTCATATTTTGCAAAATTTCTCCAAAACGGCACAAGCTTTTTAAATAGTTCTTACACTAAAAAAAAGTCTTAAAAATATTAATATTTTTAATTGAGAGTTTTATTTTTATTACCCGTTTTATAAGAGAATATATCATTTTTCCCTGAAATTGAATATATTTACGCGAGCGCGCATGCTCCATCGCTATGTAAGCTCTGTCACAGTCCGTTTTCGGACATCGTCGAGGGTGGACCGCACGTCGGTGTTGGAGCGACTTCGTTCAAATATATATTAGTTTTTTAAAAGTTTATACTCAATTATATATATTTTTATGACTAGAAATACTTAATTTAGTTAATATCTGTACACTGGTAACTGTAAATATTATTTTCTAAATAAATTAATTTTTAAAGTGCCCAAAGAAGAAGAAATTTTCGCGGCGACGTTGATTAGTGAAATTAAAAATGCATTTTTATATAATTTAGATGTGGAACGACGAACATGCTATCGTTATTAGATTTCAATATTTTTAAATACCTGTGTAATTTTATTGTGGCATATTTTTATTAATTAGTTGATACTGAATTTTATAATTATGTATTACAATAAAACGCTGTTTTTATGAGTATGACTTTATAAAATTTTATTGGGGAGGGAAATATAGATACAGATACTTACATTTAGGTACACTGTTAACAAATTAAATCAAACAATTTAAATAACTAAAAAAAATGATGCTTCTCTAAGTATAAATAACTATATAAAGACATTCTTGGGTTTATGGTTTTTTTTTATGTTAGACAAACTATCATCTAAAAAATGTAAAAATTTTAAATTGGAGAGGGGTTTCTCTACGTGATAAAGTTAGAAATGAAGATATTCCCAGTAGAACCAGAGTAACTGACATAGCCCAACGGAATATTACAGTGAAATAGCAATGGGCTGGCTGTATAACTTGGAAAACAGATAAAAAATCGGAAGAAAGGTTGTCGAGTGGTAACCTCGTACAGGTAAGCGAAGCAGTACTCAACCATTATTCCTCTTCACGTATTCTTATACGTACACACACACACACACACACACACACACACACACACACACACACACACAAACACAAACATACAAACACAGGCACGCACGCACGCACGCACGCACGCACGCACGTACGCACGCACTTACACACACACACACACACACACAAATAGGTCGCAAATAATACTTACCTATTACTATTAGGCAAGAGTGAAGAGGTTTTTGTAAAGTTAGTGCAATTAACCATCATAGGCTACATAACCACTTACCGATGGGATTGTAGTTGCTTTACTACTTGCTGGGTAAAATAGTAAAAAAAAAATTACTTTGTGAAAGTTTGCATTTAGATATAATTTTTCTAACCAACCATAAAAATATGATGAGAATATGTATATAAGTATAAAGGTTGCCTCACACGGGACAGTTATAATATAATATTATATCTTCCATTATCTTTTTGTTTCACGCATGAAAACTTTTAAAATCTCTGAATCCCGAGGTATGTTCATATTAAGAGGCTGAATAGAGCCACATTGATATGCATGGGGATCGTTTTGTAATGTCACGTCGTTATCGAAAAAAAATTGTACGTATTTCAGGTGGCGGTTTGCAAGACACGATTCCACAAAAAATCACTCAATAGGAAATAATTCCAAAGTGTCTTCTGAAACTACTTAAATTTTCAACGTCAATTTTATCTTACGAGGTAGAGCCATGCTGCAGCTATATTAGTAGTAGGTATAGTTATAGCACGAATGGGTCGGCTCGACCGGGGAAGGGCCACGCTCTCACGGAATACCATGTAAAATAGCAGTTTAACCCTGCTGTGTTTCGTATGGTGAGTGTAGAGAACCGGATAACCTTTTTACTGGAAACGAGGCATTACATCTTAGTCCTCACGGGTGGCAACGCATCTACATTTTGATACGTAATCGAGAATAGATGTAGATGTCTATGGGCCGTAGCAACCACTTACCATCAGGTGGACTGTGTGCTCGTTTGTCACCCTTATTCTATTAAAAAAAACTTTCTGAGATTTCAGTAAAATAATGTTAAGTATTGTAAGCACTCGTACAATTACTTGTATGTGTCTCATGTTAATAAAGCTTTTGGGCTATTTTGATTTTTAAGAAAGTGATTTTACTTTATAGGTTAAATAATTTATTTACCCTTCTATATCAAGAACCGTTTTTCTATCACTCCTATTGAATTTGACACTGCTTGCTGAAATTTAGATGGATCAGAATCGCGCGCTGTTCCGGCTGTTAGATATTGCAAAAATAATCGAATATATTTATTTTTACATTCATGCCGAAGACTACCTTGTTTTATTTTATTACGGTCAAATAATATTTATTAGGTTATAAAGCAAGTATTTTTGTAAATGTTTTGTATGTAAATGTAAATGTTTTCATTATTTTGTTATTCTATTGTTTACAGTTATTATCACGTCTTAGCTTTACACCAATAATTACATTAGAAATTCTTGATGGGATGCGATATAACGCGCATACATTATTTTCATCAAGAACTATAATATATATATATTTGTTTTTTTTTTACCAGTAGAGTTTCAACAAAATCTTAAAAAGTTCAATGAATTAAAAAAAAATGCTAATAATTATATAATTTCAAGTCAGTGTTTTACATTTAAAGATCAGTTATAAAGAGCCAATGTTATTATTTTCATTTTGATTAATTTAATTCGAGAGAGACTAAAATAAATGTGAAAGGGCTTTTATCTGCAATAATAATTTTCATCAAAAATAACGTAGACTTATAAAAGTCATATACACGGTCAATCATACTGAAGATTATCAATTGTACTACAAAATATTGAAAAAATTTTAAAAGACTATTTCCAGTATAATGACCCGAATATCATCATTAATGTTTGACTGGCACACTTAAAAGTTTTATCACATGGCTAAATGATTGACTATTATATTATGATAAGGTCATGCTTTTCTATAAAAAGTTGCAAGAAATTTTAAATCACGGACCTATTTGGTTTGTTTTACTTTTCACTTAATTAGTGAAAAACAGGATGGACTGATCTAAAAGTTTACTTTCTTGTGTAAAAAGTGCTATTTAGAATTTTATGCAAATGATAATTAAAGTTTCTATGTAAATAAGTGTAACATAGCGGGTATTATATTCAATGGTAGCGGCCATCCATATTTGCAAAGCCAGTATCATTTTCTGTACAGAAACCGGCAAAGTGTTGCTCAAGGCACTATAAACAAAGCAGCTGATAAAATGTTACACTCATAACTGTTAACAAAAACTGTTTCTGCAAATGGTCTTATAGATAATAATAACTATTCCGCCGTGTTAGGTGCAGCAGCTATTATTAGAAGGAGAAGAGGTAAAATTTTGTTTTAGAAATGCGCAATCAATATTGTTTTGTCTGCAACTGAGCATAAAATAAAAAATAACTTCAGCCAAAGAGCATAACTGGCGTTATAGTCAGGCCCATCAATTGGTATGGAAAAAAATAATTTTACCAGGTTTCAATTTTCAATAAATCAATCAAAATTCAAGAAAACATAAATATTAAAATCAATATATATATATATATATATATATATATGGCCGTGCGGTAAATGACGGTGACTCAGTATAACATCCTACAGTCACGCCGAAACTAAGAGGAGAGAATCATTGTAGAAAAGGTAATACATAATTTATTGCGGAAATTTTGTGATAAAATTAAAAAAAATACAATCTCATCCAAGTTAATCTAACTTAGTCTAACTTATCGTTATGCGTTAAAAAAAATAGTGGGATGGCGTCAGTTTTTAAGAAGATATAACAAAAATAAACAAAAAAATAAATTTCAAAAAAGTTCAGTATTTAATTGATTATATACCGCTGACACTTTATCACGCTTTTCGAAACCACGCCAGTTGTAGACAATACTTGTGTGAAAAGACAAAATCTTCTTTTCAAATTTCCGCCGAGTTGTAAGTAGAAAGCCAAATAGTTCATGTGTCAATTTTAATTAAATATATTTTATATGAATTGATCTTGACTACGTTTCATCAATCAATCATTGGTAAAAATTAAAACAAGAATTTTACAATTGTATTTAAAAGAAACATTATTAGTTGAACCTTGCAGCTTGTTTATTATTTTTATTATAAATACCTATAAATGTTTATATTATTAATAAATAGTTCCCATAATATTTTGGATCATTTTTTATTTTGCCCTATCTGCAATGTTCTACGCTCTATAGGAAATGTGGCGTATGACATGACTGACAATCTTTCGAACGTTTTATCTAGGTACAAAGATGTTTTACGTTTTCGTCGCCTACACATGATATTTTTGTCAGCATAGGGTACCCTTCTGTATC